TTTTTTTTTTTTTTTTTTTTTTTTTTTTTTTTTTTTTTTTTTTTTTTTTTTTTTTTTTTTTTTTTTTTTTTTTTTTTTTTGTGGCATCATTCACTGTTTTGTTCTGATGCTTTATTGCAGATGATCCATCAGTGGCTGGATATACCATCTTCAGATATACTCGTATGTTATGCCTATTTTATGTTGATCTTTGCATTACTTTTTTCTTGGTCATAATGAATGGGAACTTTTTTGTGTGTGTGTGTTTTGCTTTGACATCTTCCACTTCCAGATGGATTTACAAACTCTCATGTGATCTATATTTCTACGTTTTAGCATCTCTCTCTCTCTGGTGAAGATACCGTACCTAAATTCTTTTGTCAAATATGTAAGAGAGAGAGAGAGCATGGATGAGGTAAAAAAAAAAAAAAATTTATAACACAAGGAAATCATAGAGAAATATGAGTCAAAACTGAAGGGTAGTAATAACATTTTACTTTGGTTTTGATAGTTCGGTCTAATGTTCCGTACTGAATAAAGGTATCTCGGATTCTTGGTTCCCCCTTGCATTGCAATGGGCTAACGTTTTGCTTTAGTTTGCATTTGTTGGCTGTTCTTATCAGAGAACATACTGATCTGATGAACGACTTCACTGATTGGAACCATTGAAGAATTTTCTGTCCATTTAATTTTTGTATGGTAATATGTGGAGATGGATGTCGCCTACACCATTTGCCCTCACTTGAAGTGGTAGTTGCAGTGTTTGTGCTGGCCTTGGAAGATTTGTGCCACTGAAAAACTCAACAACTTAGAAAAAACGACTTCGCACGAGCAATTAAAGGTGGAGAGCAAAAAAATCTAGTAATTAAGTCCATGAAAAGGAATTCAACTAAGTCAGTACAGGATTGAGGCTCTAGTACCTTAGAAGGCAGGTTTGTGAAAGATACACTCAGTTTTAAATTGAACTACAAAAAGTAGAACCATTGTTGTAGAACTAGAAAAAGTGACATACTTGGAGAACCATTGTTGTAGAACCCAGTCCAGCCAGGTTGACCCGGTCCCAGAGCCTGTTCAGTCTCTTATTTGGATCTGTTTGTAATGGAACCAGTACTGAACCATTTGAACTGGGTGGGTTTCATGGCGAACTGGTGATACATAAGAATTGACATCATCTGTATTGGTTGCTGATAATGTGATTTCGTTGGACCTTTAGAAGAGATAACTTTAGATAAATTGGAAAAGTGAAAAAAGACTTGTGTGTCCAAAGTCTGAACCAAATTGTTGGTAATAAGGCTTAGCTAGTTATTGCCATTGTGGTCTCAGAACCAATGAAGGAAGAGAAACAAAAATAATTTTTTTCAATTGAAAAATCAGAGAAACTTATGTTTTTTTGTTTATTTTAACTGTACACTGGTACATGCATAAACAACTTTTCTTTCTGTTGTCATTTGGAATTTTGGGTTGTTGAGTGTGTACTTTTGGAGATTGATGTAATGTTATTCTTGTAGATTGTGGAAATGTCATTAAAACTTGATATATCTGCATTCATATTTCTTCCCAAGTGTTTGACCTTAGAAGTTTCTGAATGTGTAGAGTTTGGTCTTTGCTTTAATTGGAAATTTAGTATCACTTGATTATGTTCTTAGGTGTAATCATTCATATTAATTGACAAGTTATGTGAATTTTTTGCTGAGAAGACTGGGACAAAGATACATGTTCTCCAAGTTTCTGAGCATTATGTAGCTACATTACTAGACTTTGCTAATAATTGTTGTTCGTCCTTGTAGGATCCTTTCCATTATTAGTCTATATTTTCTTCTTTTTTTGTATCTATAGTTATTTTGTATCTAACATCTTTTAGAGTATCTCTCACCACCCTCCATTAGCATCTTATGGGTTCTTTGCCATGTGCTTGTGCATTCTCGCCATATTTATAAGATAATCTGACCAATACTGCTGCTTGCATGTTACCTTATCAAGCTACTAGAATCAACTAATGCTAGTTTCTTCCGACCCAAAGATGAAAGTAATCGATGAAAAAGTATGAACTAGAAAATTCCTCTATCAAATGCTTTAAGCATTAGGTTACTTTCCGCAGCAGTAATTAAGTACATCTAGTTATAAAATTCAGTCCTGATGAAGATTCGTGAACAGGTAGTTCTATCTCAGTGGAGTGGGTCAAACAGAGGTGGATTCAATATTATGACGTCAAATACCAAGAGGTCTATCCATCTTGATGGTGTCTTCAACATCATATCATACGATATTGTACAGAAATTACAGGATGTTCTCATGGCATCAGAATTCAAGGTAAGTAACTGGTATTAGTTTGAAACCCTACACTCACTGTACCAAATATTGATATTAGCTTCAACATTTCCTGGTTGGCTGGTCTTGTACCTGTTACAATTAGTTTTACGTTCGTGCTCTTTCCAAGTAATTCGTTTGACTTGACTTGGATGGTATGTGAAGTCACACTCTTTTACCTTGATGTTCGCCTAACTACTGTTTTTTGGCTGGACAGCCGTGTTTGCTGATTATCGCTTTTGATTATCTCATTGTTTATTTTTATGCATGAATGAGGCTTGTATATAATGCAGGAATATCCTGATTAAATGATAAAAATAACAATAGGAGCTAATGAAGCACGGGTATTGTTCATGCTACAGTTCTATGGCCAAATCAGGGCTTACATTTTGTTACTTAGTTTCTTTGATATTCTAGGATCACTGGTATTCTCTTACCTACTTAGCTAGGTCTTCTTCGTCATATTTCATATTCAGGGAATTCGTTAGTATACAAATTTATGGGTACAGTTTCAGAGCTTCTAGATATTGTTTTCTCAATCTTTTAGTATTTTTCGGACTTTGTAAATGATAAAATTTGTGTTTTGGATTGTAAGTTCTTTCCGAACTCTGGGTTTTGTCCATAGATTGTCAAGGTTTTCCTTTCTGTTTTCAATTAAGAACTTAGGCTTGAAACATGAATCAAAGTAAATATATTAATTTGATGTCGCTCTTCCAGCTGGGTCAGTACACTATGTCTATGTTCTTCGAATCGTATCAAAGCAAGAGCTTAAGTTTTTACATGCTATGAGTTCCTATAAATAAGGCCCGATAATAACTGTGAAATGTGTTCTTGAGTTGTTCTATGTTACATGCTATGATGCTCGGACTCAGGCGCGGGTGTCGGATACGGGTACATATCTAGGAGTCGGATTCTTTTCATTTTAAAAATTAAGATATGGGGATACGGCTTAAAAGGATCCGAATTTTGGATACCGGTATGGGTATACGTCTTATAATTTTTTTCCTAAAAAATAATTAAATTAAAGCAAATAACAAATCATGCCATTTACATTAAATAATAAACTTCTTTATTGGGCTCCACAGAAGCCCGTTTAATACACACCCAAAACCTATCATCTTCTCCAACCGGTCGTCTTCTCCAACTTTCATCTTCCCCTTTTTGCAAAATTCTGCAAATGTTGCTACAATCCTCCATAAATTTCTACATATTTCTAAAACAAGATTCGAAACAAATGGTTGTTTTCGCTACAAACGCAAGCCAGAAGCACTACTTCAGCGTCCATTGTTTTTTCCCTTTTCCAGCCATGTCTTCAAAACCGAGAATCCGACACATATCCCGTGTCGATATCGATGTCATGTCGTGTCGACACGGATACTTCGCCATTTTTGGAGAGTCCGAGCATCATTGGTTACATGGGCTCAGCAGTTCAGGGTGTCAGACTTTGTTAAGTATCTGTGAGAGAGAGAAACCTGACCTCCGAAAAAGCAACAATGCAACAAGTGAATAAAAAATAAATATTGACATGTGTGATTGCCTGTAATAATGATTCAAAGTGAAAATAAAGGTCAGAGACTCAGTTAAATAGTGAAAGTGTCAACCTTTTGACATATAATAACTTGCAGAACTTTTAAGCAAACGAAATACCTAGAATCCTGTTACTTAAACATGTGCAGTTTTCCAAAACTACATTTTCACATTGATTAACTAAATTTTTTTGCGTAACTTTCATATTTTCTATATCTGTACTCCAACTTACAGTTATTAAATTGTATAGGTCAATTTTTCATGCATTTGCGTTTCTATCAGCATATTTTCGCTATCATTTTTTTTATTTTTTGTGGTACA